CGTTTTTTCGGGATTTTTGAGATTGCTCGCTCGCTATGTAGGGTAGACCGGGGCACGTTGTCACACATTTTTTTCAATATTTTTTGTATTTTTTACATTCAATATTTAAGAGTACTTTGATATGCCAAAATATCGAGTGAACCCTCAGCTTCAATTGGACAGTATCGAATTATGTGTGATTGTTACTCTACAGTTGTTACATAACAATAAATAACGACAGGTCGCTTGTGACAACGTGCCCCGTGCCCGGGGCACGTTGTCACATCAAATGTAATTGCATGCAAAATGTAATCCAAACTGTATACAACGTAAATATTAATATATTATAGTGCGCTGCAATGTAAAATCCTTCACAGAAACATTTATTTTATTTCAAAAAAGTACAAAAAGCACGAAGTTTTCGTCTTAATCTAAATAGGCAAGAATTTCACTCGAATGCGCAACTTATTGATAAACATTTTTTCTTTTATAATCATGTCGGTGATTAAACATAAAATATTTTTATTCGTTATCGTCATCCGAAGATTCGGAATAGATTCCCATCAAATTTGTGACAACGTGCCCTGAGGGCATTTTTTTACTTCAAACAGCCTCATGTCCGACACGTTTGAGATATTCGTAAGGTTAGGTACTGCACGCGGTAGGTAAAAGTACATACTTTAAGATAATATAAAGGTCTATTCTGAAAAAACATAAGCTTCATGTCCAGTACGTTGAATATTAGACAATAAAATATTAGACAATAAAATTTACTTACGGTCGCAAAAAACTTTCAAGTTGATTTTACGTCAACACGGCTGGCGCAATCTCAAGACTGTACACACTAAAGATGGGCATACACTAACACGTTTTGGGAATGACGGGTGCTGCCCTCCGGTTATTAGTTTTTTAAATAAAGCCAAAGTGACAACGTGCCCCGCGTGACAACGTGCCCCGGTCTACCCTACCCAGAACCTCGATTTTTCACTTAAAAAACCAAAGAATAAAATCGGTAATCGGTAATTGGTTTGTAAAATTACTAAGCTGACCTGCTATCAATTCATTCTCTTGTCATTATAAGCTACTTGGTTTCACATATTATATGTCATTTTGATTTTTATAAAGAAAGAACCCTTTTACCGATCGTCGCCAAATTCAATACCAACCTTCCTTTAATGATACTCTATATAAAATTACATGTATAACTTATACACTTTTTAAACAAAGATCGGTAACCCCTTCACCGAGCCTCGCCAAATTCAATAACAACTTTCTTAAATAATACTGTATCCATCAAATAACTTATACATGTTTTAAGCAGAAATCGGTAACCCCTCCACCGATCCTCGCCAAATTCGAAACAACCTTCCTTTTAATGATACTCTATATAAGATGACAAATATGACATGTATAACTTACACACTTTTCAAGCAAAAGGCAACCTTTCATCGATTCTCGCCAAATTCAATATAATAATATTCTATCCATAAAAAAAAATTAGCTTGATATCTTAAAATTTGCAGAAATCAGAACAATTTAGATTTTTTTAGACGAAAATTGGTAACCCCTTTATTAGGAAATTCTACCCCTGTTTCATATATTATTCTTTGAGATTCCGTCAATTATTCCCCGAAAAATTGAAGAAATTAAAAAAACCGGTTTCCAGAAGATCGGTAACGAAAAACTATACACCCTATAGCACTCCCGGGGAAATTCTACCCCTACTTCATATACAATACTTTCAAAATCGGTCCAATAGTTTCTAAGATTACCCCGAACAACAGTACAAACTTTTCCCCTTTATATAATAGTAAAGATATCCCGTGGGCTCCGTGTCCATAGTTGTAATTATAATAGAGATCGTAATTACTGTCATATCGGTAGTGAAGAAAAGAACGAAGAAAGACACGCGACGCGACTTCCGAATGCAACTTGAAAAATAGAGTATAAGATAATGTAATTTCCATGGAAAAAGAAAAGACTACCCTGTATAAAACAGATATTAACGAAAAACTTATACCTTATTTTTTCTTTTTCCATGAGGAAAGGGATGTTGTGAGGCGGAAGTCGAGATGGCCTAATTGCAACACCGAGTTGTCAGCGTAAGTTTTGGTAATTACTCGGTCACAGACCGATGCAACCCGATCCCGGAAACAAAAGCGCTGACAACCGGGTGTCGATACCAACTCGGAAGCTATCCGAGTTGGCAATGTGACAATGATCTTGGGCGCGATAAAAAGCCCGCCCTTGCGATAGGCGGGGGTCAGTTTAAATTGAAACGCGATCTGTGCGTGACTGTTATCGCGATCTACCCGCAAGTCAGGGTACTTGAATAATCCGAAACGAGTGTAACTAAGAATCAACTTTATTAATAAAACAAGCAAGTGTTAAGACATCTCGCGAGTGTTGTCCTTATTCCCTGCGGATTTACGGACCCCGTGCCGGCCCTGAGATCCCTTTCACGGCACGGCACGACAAAGTCATCTTACCCGCATATGGGGGGCAAGATGACGAAAACGACACGTTCTTAAAAAATGTAAATTTTTAAAAATTCTAATTTATTTAGAGTTTTTTAATTTTTACAGTTACTAAAAGACTTTAGTGAATCTAAAAAACATAGATCATTATTTTTACATTCTCACAGAAATTAGGAAAAATCGACAAAGTTTAAGGTCGTCATCTTACCCCCCTTTCTCCTACTCAATAGTACAAATGTTACATTTATTATGTGAGTAACTTGAATGTTTAAATACACTTGTTAATGTTATTTTACCAAATCATTTACATGATACTGATATAATTTTTTCTTTAATTAATCTAAAAATTTTGTCGATGTCTTAATTTTTTCTTTTCTTCAGATCTATTTTTCTATATAATTCTGACTTCTATTTTAACTCTTTGAGGAGGAAAACTTTCTGACAAAGTAACTTATGGAAGACTATTTTTTCTAAGTGAGACTTGGTTTTAGGGTAACATATAATAGGATTGCTAATTTAAATGTATTCTGAAAATGTCAAAACTCAAAAGGGTAGTAACCTCCAATGAAAGAAGAAGCATAGACTTAGGAAGAGATAGAGCGTGAAGTACTATGGACAAGGGAGATCTAGAAATTAACGCGAGGTAAAATAACAGGTAAATTCGACAAACTTTGGTGAAACTCGGAAACATTCGGACGCTCGACAGTACACGGATGTATCAACCAAAGTGAAGCCACATCCATGTCACAGTATATTGTGTCCGTGTGCTGTCGAACGTCCGAATGTTTCCAAGTCTAACCGAAGTTTGTCGAGTTTACTCGTTATTTCCTCTCACCGCGTTTTCCAAGACCTTATACTTAATAGTCTATATCTAATCTGAGGACGAGCGTGGCCTAGTAGACAGCGCACTGGTCTATTGAGCCAAAGGTCCCGGGTTTGATTCCCGGTAAAGCTAGAAAAATTATATTCGCTCGTTCTCCTCTCGGAAGGCAATGATAAACCACCGAGAGTATGTCTTGCCAAGAGAACTTCTTTAAAAAATATATATATAGCCGTTCGGAATCGGCGTTAAACTATAGGTCCCATATACAATGTGTATAATCCACGTGCGCAACACATGTATATGAAGAAAAGTCACCACGCTCGGGTACGAGTAATAGGACTGAGGATGATGATACTTAAAAGTACAAATGTTACATTTATGTGAGTAACTTGAATGTTTAAATACTTAACTGTTTGCATAACACTGATAAGCTTCAAATAAACTAAAACTGGAATACTTTGTAAACTAGTAACATTGTAACACTTGGTGTTATTTAGCAATGTTAAAAATTTCCTAAAACCTAGTTTTACAATAATTAAATTATTTTTTTTGAAATTTTTGTTATATTGGATCCACTATTTTGCATTTTTTATTTTAGAGATAAATAAAGCATTATTAAATTATCCTAATAGGCAAAATTTCATGAAAATTGAGTGACAGTTTACAAAATAAAAAAGTAGTTGCCGTCCTCAAGAGTTAGAGAATGAAATGCTGCAGATCATTTGTCTTATGGGAAACTAATAATGTAAACATATCAATACTTCTATAATTTACATAATCTTTAAAATCATATTTGTGAACCTAGTATAATGTAACAATAATTAATGTAATGCCAGCACAAATTAGCGTTTCAACAGTATTTAACATATACAATTTTAAATGTTACTAAAACAGATTACTGGAGCCGTGTAAACATGATTATTGATCTTAAAAATCGAAGATTATATTATACATCTAAACCTATAACAATTAAACGCAGAAAATCATGATGCTGAAAATACATGATAAAATCCCTATTTAGTTATCTTCCTATACTTTCTACCATGTTAAAATAAAAAATGTATTCCGATTATGATAACTATATATAGCTCAGAATTAAAACTTAATTTATTTATGATCTATAAACACCATCAAAATTTCTGAGCTCGTCAGCATTATTTCTCATGTTGGGCAGTTCCCAATTATTTGGGAAGACCGGGGCGAAGTCGTCATCATTTTGTCGGTGCCGATTTTTAACGTTTGCCTCGATAAGAATCATAACATGGCACATAACCTCACTAAATTCTGTTGATCACGTGGGCATCATAAGCCGCGTTTACAGTATTAATGGCGAGTTCATACAACATACAGATTTCGAGATAATTGCAATGACGACTCCGCCCTGGTTTCCCCTACTTCTTGATACTGTTTTGCATTGATTTTATTATGTGAATATTAATCGTTGATCGTGTATTATTCTGATATATTAATGTTATGTGATATACTAATGTTGTGAGATACACTAATGTTATGTGTTATATTAATGTTTTATACAATAGTCGATTGTACCGCTGTCATGATTAATTAATTATTCTTTTTCATTAATCTTATAATTAACCCGACAGGTTATGTCGGGTTAAAGTCGGGTAAAAAATTAATTTTTAAACTTTTAACCCAAAGATTAATGTGATAGGTTAATGAGTCACTTATGTATTTTGCATAACCTTAAAGAGTAGCGCGCCCAAAGTTTAAAAATTAACTTTTTACTCGACTTTAACCGGACATAACCTGTCAAACCGTTAAACTCTAACTTATTTGACTACCTCTAATGAAAAGTTAGGGTTAAAATGTTGGAATAAATTGTAACAGACCTACTTGATGTGTTATACAATTAATTTATCAAGATTGCTGGTGCAACTGGTACTAATTGTAAGGCTATCGCAATTAATAGGCACATATAATGAGCTATTATACGGTCCTACGGGCATATGTTAACTGCAGTCGTAGAATGATCGATGATAATGCGACTATATGCAATGCCTAATAGCAAAAAGTTATTGAAGTCGAGGAAGCAGTTACGACGAAAAATTGTATTCCTGAGGAAAATAATTTGCGTCAGAACTCTTGTAAGATGTGCAAGAGCTATGCCCGCTCTTGTTGGGTTTCCTTTTTTCCTCTGTCATCGTCTTCTTCGCTTTGTAGGGACGCAGTATTAGCATAGTTTCCTTAGATTCCTCTTGAACACGTATCTTTGATCTCCATGATTGTTCGTCCAGCTCTTTATTTTGATTCTCCACTATTGTTTCATCGCGAGCATGTTTCTCCTCTATAATAAAACATTTGTAACATTTTTTTTGTATGTATGAAAATACCGTTAAAAAATCTCGTTATTAAATATTATTACAATCGCATTTATACTTTTTCTTCTTTATTTTCTCCCAATCTCGAGTACAGGAGGTAAGCGCGACAGTTAATTGCGATAATTATGCAGAGATACGGATTATTCTCTGATGACTTTGACCTTGATATATGTTGTCGAAGTCACCCTTCTGAGTGACTTCCAGAATGTCTTAGCCGTCGGTCATTGTTTATTAAAACGTTATTAACAAGAAAGTTTGAAAAATATAGCAGTTATTTTGTGTATTGACAGGCATAAACAACTAATACGTATGTAAAAATAGTACACCCTGGTAGAAAAAAGTCACAGAATTTTTCATATTATTTATCAGAATTTCTCTGAAAATTTTATTATTTTTTCAGAATTTTTATAAGAATTTTATAAGAAACATTTTTCAGAAAAACTCAGAAAAAATTAAAGAATTCTAAGTATTCTAAATATTTCCAAGTAAGAGAAATTGGGACTATCTGTTTACGCTATATGTCCACGGTACTGCTATCTGAGATTTTAAGAGACAGACGTCTCTACCAATGTAACAAATAGTTTAGAAATGCTCTACGTAAGAGATTTAAACGTTGTTTGTTTTCTTGCAATGCTTTTCGCAGACGCTATATACATTTAAAAAAAAGCGAAAACGATTATTCACATTTTTCGACAGTCAAAAAATTTGCTGTGCGACAGTAGTTTAACTTAAATTAAAGTAAGCAGTTCATAATATTATCAATTAATATATACATATATAGTTATCAGGTTTGAGAAGCGTCAAATCTTAATTCCGCATAATCTAAAATAGGCAATATGTTAAAGCTGAAAAACGTGGTCGGGGCTACCCTGGCGGAAAAAATTTCTATGAATAACTACAAAATTTAACTAGAAATAGAAATTTGTACATTTTTGTTGAAATATTTAATTTTTTGTAGAAATAGTTATTTTTTTATAGAAATATCTACGAAATAGTACCACAAATTATAATGTTCTTAAATCAAGAAATTATTGCAAGTAGTATTTTATAAAAAACTACAATTTTATAAATAATAGTACAAAGATCAACAAATTTTAAAAATTTAAGAAGAAACAAAATCTTAAAAAATTAAAACGTTTGCTTGTAGAATACTACAATTATTTGTAGAATACTACTTGCTTACTTGTAGAATACTACAATTATTTATAAATAACTATAGAAATCTACTACAATTTACGTATCGTAAAACTATGCAGCTTAGAATCTAATTCAGTTTTTAGTTTCTCATAAAATACTACAACTGCGTATAAATATTAACAAATACCGATTTGTTTGTACAGCTCAAAAATTTATTACGATAATGGCTAATTAAAATTTGTAATTTTTAGTTAAATGTTACAAACTTTTACACAAATCTTCCAAAATTTATCTATTATTAATAACTTCTTAATTTGCAGAAGTCAAAATACTTATGTTTTTATTTTCGTATAGTCTGTTGTAAAGTCCAATAGAAAAATACAATTGTAAATGTAGTAAATGTACAATTTTTTACCTATATAAATTTCTGATTCGTGAATAATTGTAATTTTGCATACAATACTACAAGGTTCTACAGAAAACGACACAATCCTTAAGCCTTTTACAACTCGTGAATTCATGAAAATCTACATAAATTTGCTTTTTTAGATGTTTATAAGATACTACAATTTTACATGGAAATTAACAGATCTTCAACCAAACCTTCAACCTTTCCATGGAAAGTAAAAATTAATATGTCAATTAAAAAAATTAAGTATTTTATGCAAAATTAGAAAAAAAAACTTAAAATAACATATAAGCAATGAGAAGTGCCGTTTTCGGTCAAAGCGAATCTTGATGCTTAATAATATTTCACAATATCAATTATTATTCGACAATATGTGTGAGAGAGGCAATAGGAGCCCAGCGCGGTACCTACTCAGTGCGCAATGAATTTACCACGTGTAGACAAAAGAAACGAACGTTTCGGCCCTTTCTTTGGCCATCCTCAGCGTAAAACTAACAATATATTTATTTGTTAATATCAATTCCGCGCAACGCAATTTCCTACATCCTACCTTGATTGTAACATTTAACGCAATCAAACGCACAATAACAAATTAACGTAGTCACGATGATCACATCGGTCGATTATGTAGCGAATTCGCAGTCACAAAACTCTCCAGTTTTTTGAAGAAACCGAAATTTTCTTAAAAGGAACTCTCTTTCTATCGCTCACCTACTCAAGAATTCTCGTCATACCTGCTTGTCAATACTTTTTAAACAACAATAGACAAATAATTTTTATATGTTTAAAGGTAATATTTTTTTGTATTTTTTAATGGAAAATATGTGTTTATAGATTGATATATTCATAAAAATTTATAAAAACAAGTAACTTAATGGAATTAATCTTTAAAGTATAGTACTTTTTCTTTTAATATATGATATTTTTCTCATTGCTTTATACACAGTTAAAGAACTCCTTAACAGTAAAAAGATACTTAAAAAAATAGTTTGTAATATAGTTGTGTATACATGTAAAATATAAGATATTGAATTAAATAAAAAATTTTAATATTTTTAAACATTTGTTAGCATAGATGATTATAAAAAATAATAAACATTTTTAATTAACATGCTAGATCTTAACAGTCTAGATTTTTTTTAAAACAAAGTCTTTCAACAAATAAATACAAAAAATTAGAAAACAATATATTCTAAAAGTTACTATTAAAAAATTAAAAACACCTTAATAATAATAATGTTAAAAATGTTTTGCAGAAGAAGAAGAAAAACAAAGAAAACATCATTGACGCCCAACATCGCCCAATTCATCAAGTTCTTCACAAAGTAGCAATGATTCAAATTCCAGTGAATCATTATCGGATAGTGATTAAGTTTAGTGTTACCATATTACCAATGTTAAAATGAGTTAACCTTGTTAACGTTACCATAACATATATCTAAGTTGTCTATGTTATATGTGCTATTTATTTTATTATATTATTATATATTGATATACTCACTTATATACTTATACTTATGCACTTTTATACTCACTTATATACTTAAAAAGTTGACTCATAAAAATAAAATTATAGACAATATAATTAATATGCAGTATTGATTTTTTATTTAGAACCACTTATTTTGCTTAAATCATGTTTTACATGCATAAGTTACGACGAAGAAGCAATTAAAAAAACTTTGTAGTTTCTATATAACTTTATCCAGATTAAAAAAAAAATGTTTCCCAGCATTACGTAATTTTTTAAATTACGTGATTTTTAAAATCACGTACCGATTTGGAACAATCCGTTACGTGATTAATTATGTCATTAATTACGTAATTTCGTTACGTGATTTTGTGATGTAATTTCATGACGTGATTTCGTGACGTGATTTTTTTCAGTAGGGATAATCAAAGGAGTAAATACGATTAGAGTAACTCCGTATACACGCCGCAAGAAAACTTAATTTATCTGCTACTATTTACTATGTTTAAGACAAATGAGTTATATCAATAAGAATTTTATACTGTATACTACTATTAAAAAAATTAGAAATATGAAATACTAGCATGCCCCGCCGGGCTTCGCCCCGGAGAACATGCGTGTATTAAGACACGCAAATAGTCTCTCTCTCTCTCTCTCTCTCTCTCTCTCTCTCTCTCTCTCTC